CGCGCGCGCACTTCCGCCCGGCGCCGTGACGTCACGGGCGGCCGCCGGTGGCCCGGGCGGGTGCGGCGCGGTGGGATGGACGGGCCGGGGGAGCTTCGCCGGGGCCGCAGGTACCGGGGACAGGACAAGACAGGACAGGACTGGGCAGGACAGGGCTGGGCTGGGCAGGGCTGGGCAGGGCAGGACAGGACATGGGTTGGGCTGGGCTGGGCTGCACTGCGCTGCCGCCTTGCCACGGGGCTCTGCGGCGGGGAGTGGGGCGGTGTCCAGGCCCCAGTGTGTCTCCCGCAGCCGCGGCGGCAGGGCAGCTCGGGGGCGACTCTGGGGCCGAGCGGGTCCCCGTGGGGCGGCGGGGCAGAAACGGCCGCGGGCGAGGCTCCCCCAGCTGCGGGTGCTGTTGGGCCGAGTCTAACCGTCCTCCAGCCGCAGCTCGGGAGGCCCCGGACTGCCAGGACCCCTCTGCCGGTTCCTCTCGCGGCCCGAGGCCTCATCGCCAGAGAGGTGCCGAGTGCCCGCTCCTCGGGGGGACACCGTGGGGGGACCTGGTCTCTCCCCCTCGCAGGGCGCCCGAGTGGCCCGGCACTGGATGCCGGGGACTAGCTGCCGAATAGAGCGACGCTCAGATGTGAAAGCCGGGCACAGCTACCCTGCGAGCAGTGCGGTGATGCTGCAGCAGCCTCCTGCTGCTTCGCTGAGGGACAGGGACTCCATCAGTGGCTGGTAGAAAGCCCTACCCGAGGACTCCTGGAGGGCAGTGCGGGCAGGTGGACTCGGATGCCTGAGCAGTGAACGTCCCAGGCTGGGGAGGAGGTGACGAAGGTGGCAGGCACATGCCCTGCTGATGGATCGCCAAGGGATTTTACCCTGTGGGCTGATTGTGGGAAACGTCGCTGAGTCTTTCTTTCTGGCTGTTCCTCCTAGAGGCACCCAGCAGTAGGTGTGAGGTGATCTAGCCCAGCTCCCGCAGTGGCCTGGCTCTCTGGTGTCTGAGGATGAGTTTGACCCCCACCAGGCGATGCCTCCTGGACCTGCCCTGGGAAGACATCTTGCTTCCACATGTTCTCTGTCATCTGCCACTGCAGCAGCTCCTGAGCCTGCAGAGGGTCAGCAAGTCATTCCAGTCTCTCATCCAGCTGTACCTGGCCAACATGCGCTGCTTTGACTCAAGCCAGGTATTGGATGGCTCTGAGGCTGGGGGAGGACACAGATGTCCTACTGCTTTGGAACTAACAGGGGAGCATCTATGTGGGGAGAAGAACCCCCGGGCAAGGAGGGTAGTTTTTTCTCAGGAGCTTGGGTTAATGGCTCAGGTGTCAGACTGGACAAATGGGCTCAGGGAGGAGAGGCAGTGATTCAGGGCCCAGCAATGCCAGTGTCTTTAGCAAGAGGCCCTGGGAGGAGTAAGCCTGGAAATTCCACCTAGGCCATTATGGGGCACTGGCTGGCAGAAATACAAGCCAGCTCTGGAGTGGCATGGCCTGTTGGTCCTCACAGAGGTTGTGCAATAGGGTGGGTCTGATGGGGGGTAACTCTGTGCCTGGTCATCGGGGAAAGCTTGTGCTGGCTCTAGGAGACACTGCCTAGGAGTGGGAAAGACAGGAGTAGCTGCTGTTCTGTGAGGACACAGAATGGTCTAGCAAAGAGATTTTTGGGGAGCAGACATGTGGAGCTCACCACAAGTATATAAATGCAGGAGTGATGATGTGGGATGGAGAAGCCAGAGCATCTTCCTAGCTTATGGCAGTAGCCTTGGCATGACGTGAGGAGAGTCTGATGGTAGGGTTTGCCCCAGGATGAGGACAGAGAGTGGCTTTGGTCACCACTGTCACAGTGGAAGAAAGGAGGGGAGAGGGTATTTGGTGAGGATCAGGCTGATATGAAATGCTGGGGAGGTGCCTAACTCTTCCTGGGTTCCCCACACAGATCAGACCAGCCATCCCTCAAGCTGCTTTTGTTAACCTGTTGAAGGACAACAAAGTACTGCAGCAGCTGGCACTCCAGGACTGCTCCAACTGGCTGACGGACTGCGAGCTGCTCCCAGTCATCGAGCAGAACCACCACCTCCACCAGATCCAGCTGAAGGGCTGTGTCCAGCTCAGCCGCCACGCGCTGGTGACCATCTCGCTGAGCTGCCCCAACCTGCGCCAGCTGTCCCTGGCTCAGTGCGACTGGGTGGACAGCCTGGCCCTGCGCAGCCTGGCTGACCACTGCAAGGCCCTGGAGGCTGTGGACCTGACAGCCTGCCGCCAGCTGAAGGACGAGGCCATCTGTTACCTGGTGCAGAAGTGCAGCAGGCTCAAGTCTCTGTCGCTGGCTGTCAATGCCAATGTGGGCGACGTGGCAGTCGAGGAGACTGCCAAGTGCTGCCCCGAGCTGGAGCACTTGGACCTCACAGGGTGTCTGCGAGTCAAGAATAACTCCATCAGGTACTGAGCAATGTGGGGATGGCAGGTGACTGGGGTAGGGAGAGGAAGAGAACCAGAGAGGAAAGGCAGGTATCTTCATGCTGAAAGCAATGAGAGCTCAGTCTGGGAGAGAAGCCACTTGCAGGCCCTTCAGGAGAGACACTGTGTGCTACTGACAGCAAATTTCCCAGCATATTATGGAGGGTAGGTCTGGGATCCAGCCATGTCCCTTGACTTTCTCTCAGACTGCCAGGGTGCTGCTCCCACACGATGGTGCATGTATGGTACAGTCATGAGCGCTGGGCTGCTGGGAGTAGAGTAGAGCATGAATGGTGCACTTAGGAATCCTGACTTGCAACTTGCATGTGCTCTCTTTCTTGGCAGAGTCCTGGCTGAGTACTGTCCCAAGCTGCGCTCACTGAAGGTCAAGCATTGCCACAACGTGGCTGAGTCCAGCTTGAGCGTCCTCCGAAGCCGTGGGGTGGTGCTGGATGTGGAGCCCCCACTGCAGAGGGCTCTTGTTCTCCTGGAGGATGCGGTTGGCTTCGCCCCTTTCATCAACCTTCAGATCTAGAACTGCTGCTGCTGGGGAGGGGGGGGACTGATGCAACGCTGGGAACCCAGAAGGATGCTGGAACTGGCTGCTGTGGAGACGTGCAGAGGGAGAGGTCGGTCCCATTGGTGAGGCTGGCCTGAGTGGGGCTCACTCTTTCCTCTGGGGCTGTTTAGCAGCCACTGAGTGTTCATGAATAGGCTTCATTGATGCCTCTGGGGAAAGTAACTCCCTCTGCAGTGGCATGGAGAGAGCGCGTGACTTGCAGGAACACCATGGTGCTGAACAGGCCTTGGCCAGGCCAGCTAATAGATAGGATTTACTATTTGTTGTATTTTAAATCTCTAAGCGGCAGCTGTCCAGAGAGCAGGGGAGCGTGTGATGGAGACTGTCCCCTGGGGTGGGTGTACAGGGCATGCCAGCAGAGCTGTGGAACAAACCAGACCAGCTGGAGCAGAAAAGAGAACAGCTACCAGCCTTCCTCTTGGGAGAGGGCAGGCCCCTCTGGGCTCTGGGAGGAGGGCAGTAAGCCTAGCTCCAGCCTGTGGCCACTGGCCAGCCTAGCACCAAAGGACTGGCATGGCCCCAGCGCAGGCAGTGTGTCTGTCCAGGCCTAGGGTGCTGGTTTAGGCTGGGGCAAGGTGGGAGATGCTCCTACCTACAGTTTCACTGACAGAAAGGCACCAAACCTAGCTGTGCTGTCACTGAAAGCAGTTGGTCATTGTCATTTGTTTCTTCCAGCTTCTGACTTAACATTTTAGTAGTGCCCAGGCCTGCTACTTATCTTGCTCCGTGTGGCATGGCTGGAAATTTGGCACTCAATAGTGGTAAGAAATGGCAGGAGCACTGGCTCTTCTGTCAGCTGAAGTTTGTGGAGAGCTGCAGGTTATGTTGGCAGGGAGAGTATAGCTCTGGAGTTCAGTCTCAGCACTTGTTATCCGCTAGGCAATTAATCAAACAGCAGCCACATCTTGTGGTGAGAGTAACGAGGGGAAGAGAGGATGACCCTGATTCTATCTTTGGCCCTAGGAGGGATTGGAGATAGTGTCTGTAAAGCATGTGCATGCTCTGGCAGAACTACACACCAAGTCACATCATCTTTATTAATACTGGCACTCAAAGCAACAGTGCACAGAGACTTGTTAAAAAGGTTGCTGCAAAAGCACAAGCCACATCTCAGATCTAAAAATGTCCCATGCAATATATAGCAGACAATGCCCAGGCCCCAGAGAGCCACTGCAGTGTGCCCCTGGGGGCAAAGGGATAGCTACACAAGGAGAGAACTCTCCTCCTTGTCAACCAGGTTAGTTGAGGAAGCTGAAAACAGTGTCCTGGCTCCCAGGTTAGTTCAAGTTAGTGGCAGGTGGAGGAGTCCCTCATTCCTAGCACCACAGTCCATCCTGCCATGCCTGGCCAGTGAGGTGGAAGGCTGAAGAGCAGGAGAACCTGGCTGTCAGTGGAACTTGTACTTCCTGGCTGGTTTTAGGCTGATATAGGTTCTTTTCATCTCTTCACTCTCAGGCTTCTTGATGTCTTTGTACCTCTCTCCTTTTGTACTCACCACCTGGTTATCGATATAGCGGATCAACTTCTTGGGAGCCTGGCGAGGAAAGACATTAACACCAAGTGGATGGACAGCCACACTGCTTGAGAAAGGCAAGGGGCAAGCAGAAGTAGAACTGCACTCTGGGAGGTGGGTGGGCTGCTTTACCATCATCTGTGCTTGGAATCTTGGCCAAAATTGGAAAGGATGTTGTCTGATGGGGGGGGAGCAAGAGCCACGGTAGTCAGGAATGGTAGGAACTGACAGACCCTGCAGCACCTGAGCTAAGCTAATCTTCTCTCTTTGAGTAAGAGGTTCTGTGAATGGTCCTACCTTTGGCTGCCCTCTTGCTTTTTGGACTTGCACCCTGATTTTTTTAAACCTTGTAACAAAGGACATTCAAACTGCTGGTGAGCTGAGACTGCTCTGCTTACCTCTTTGGGTGGAGCTGGCCGATGTGTTTTCTGATCATCTGCACTATCCACCATCATGTATCTGAAACACAATAAGCATTTAGTAAACACTGCTATGTTGCCTGGGGCTACTCACAGCCTATATCCCTTCTCCCCTGGATGGTTTGTGGCTGTGCAATGTGTCCTATGTGACTAGATTGCAGCAAAGAGCACTTGGATGTTCCCAAGTGGATGAAATGGGCAGAGGTGTCATCCTTCTGGTGAGAATCCAGCAGGATTCTCCTGGAGTAGCATCCTTGGCTATATGTGAAAGGTATTGAAAACTCAGGTGTCTGAGAATGCTGGTAGCCACTGCAGAACTGAGAGAGGTGCTGAGGTCAGGTGTGCTCTCCCATTAGGGCAGCTTTACTCCTCCTCAGTCCAAGTGATGGCAGCCAAAGGAGACAGGTGAGATTAGAGGACCAATCTGTCTGCTTCTGCTCTGAACGATGGTGTTTCTTTCACACTCCATCTCCTACTTGACTATGAAACAGGCCTGTTCTGGAAGCAACTTCATAAAAGCATCACCTCATTTCCTACATGACTGAAACATCAGGGTCCAAGCATTTGCTTGCTGTACTGCTGAGTTGCTACTCTCTGAGATTTTGGTGCTGGTTTAGCACAGCTGACCGTGACTGCTCCCTCAGTAGTTAGTATAGTTGCTCATGTGTATCTTCAGCTATGGCGATCTGCTCTCTGTACCTGTGCTTGAGTGATGTTTAAAGTACAGGATGTTGCCAAAATGTCATTAAACTGAAGTTCTCAGAAACATAACAAGCAGCCCGTGCTTTTTTGTTCCCTCGCCTGTCACCGACGTGAGCCTGGACAGGAGCTGGGCAAGGACAGAGGTTACTACTTCTGCCTGGATGCTGTTCTGCCTTGTGTTATCTTTCCTAGCCCACCAATTGGTTATTCTGTCACTGGGGAGAATGTAAAGTGGTGGAAAAGATGTGGCTGGATAGATGTGTGGAAGCTGCCTGCTCATGAAAGCTGAAATCTTAAAGCAGATCGATGAAACCACAGTGTGGGTTCTCTTACTGAGATTTAAATGCTTTTAGAAATAAATATAGGTAAACCAATCTATAGATACTTTCATTCTCAAGAAGCCTACAGGGGGACTTCAGAGAGGTTTCTTTAAATGCACTGAATTTTCACCTTCAGCAACTGAGATTTAATCTTCTCAGTGTTGTTGTACAGACAGCCTCTTAAAGATATCTTTAGCCTTGTTTGGACTGTCTCCAAGGACAGAGGTATGAATGAGTTCTACAAACACTGTAGTTCTACAAATCACCATGTGTTTGTTACCTGAGCTGCAGCATGATGTTTGTGCCTTGAAACTTTAACCAGGACCTCAGCCAACAGTACTGTGATTTACACTATATGTGCAGGAGGCTGAAACCTCACACACAGCCAGTGTTGTGACCCAGCTGGTACAGATAATCTGTTTCTGTGCTAGAGCTCTAAAAATACCAAAACTCTTTGTTTTGTTTTTTTGTTGGTTTGGTTTGGTTTTTTTGCAGTTGTTGGTTGTTGGTTTTTTTTCCCCTCCAGATGGTGATTGTATTTGTGTTTAGATGTGTTCAGCTTTACCCGAATCAGTTTCACAGCCTCCTTACTAAGCATCTTGCAGCCTAAGTTCTTTATAGACCACATTGTTCCCCACACTGCCACCTCCTCCTTTACTGAGAGCAAAATGAGGGGTTCTTTGCTGTTGGGTACTTACTTCTGTAGGATAACCTGTTTTAGTTCCTCATGGTTGGGTGTTCTGCGGGGCCGTGCCAGTTCCTGGGAGGAGACAAGGTGGGTGTATGAACAGCACAACACTTGGAGCACAGTTTCCCCCTGCTAGCTTGGTGAGCCCAGCTGCTGGTGGAGCACTCCAGCCTCTCCGGGAAAGCAGTGCCAGCCATACCTCCCCTGGGCTGCTAGCTTGGTTGTGGGCACAGCCTAATACTAAGAGAGCCAAGGGAGGGAGAGGGGCTGTTATTCTGGGTGATCCTCCTGGCTCATTGTGCAGTCAAAGCTCCTGCTTGTGGGAGACAGCTGTGATGCCTGTGTGTCCCTGACCTCTGCTCTGCTCCTTGGCCCACTGCCACCCAGGTCAGAGTACAGTACCTTCACACTCACACCTGATGGGCCAATTTCCACCTTCTCCTCCACAATTAACTGCACTGCCTCCTCCAAGTTCCCCAAGGCCATGGCAAGAGCCTTTTCTGCCTGGCTCACGGTACAGGCTGGGAACATCTCCAGTAGCAGCTCCAACCCATCCTTCAAGTCATCGTCTTCCTAGTTGGAGCAAGAGACAGCGGTAAGTTGAGGATGCAGTGAGGAGAGGGCTAGGGCCTCTGGTTTTTCATTGTCAGGAAATTCGGCCTGCCTTTCGCTGAAGGCTCTCTCTCCTTACAAATGTCGCTAAATCCCATTCCTGAAGCTAACAAGGAAATGTATCCTTGGAAAGACAAACCATTACTCTTCCTTAATCTCCTCCTCTGTTTCAACTTCCAAGTAGGGCTGATGTGAACTGACTCATCTGTGTGGCCATGCCATGTGTCTCCTTAGGAGCGAGCTTTCTGGACACTGTGGTGCAAATGCCTGAAGTCCTGCACACCTTGTGAAGCTGTGTGTGCTTTGATCAGAAAAGGAAGGAGCTGCTAAACACTGACCTGAGGCTACAGCAGAAGGAATCACCATAGCAGCATTTTCTAGAAAGTTGTGGATACAGAATGCTGCAGAGCAGGAATAGATCAGCACTGGAGAAAGAGCAAACAGAGCATAGGGGAGGAAGGTGGGAGATATACGCCAGGTGCTGTAGTGCTGTGGGATCTCTGAGGGCACTGGGACAGGCTCTCAGTGCCACTGCTCTGGCTCATCCTTTCCAGCTGCTGGAAAGGATGAGCCAGGGCATTGCCTCATAGTCTTCTGTCAGCACATAATTTTCTGACACAGTCTTGTTTAGGCCATACAATTAGGAGATCACAGACACGGTGATGCCTGGTCACCGCCCATGCTGTGGTTCCTTCCAGAGCTGGAAAATGCCCTCAGGTGGTGCTGGTAGCCTAGTGCTCTGTGACTGTCCCCAGTGTTCCTGCTCCTCTGCAGGGTACTCATACCTGGGCCCTGGCTCCGTCTGTTACAGTGCACAGCCTTTCCCCGTTGCAGGCTCCAGCTCCAGGCTCCTGGCCCTTGGTGAGGTCTTCAGAGGGTGCTTCACTCCTGCTTTCCACAGCCTTTTGGCCAGGTTTTTCTTAAAGACACATTGATATCTCCTGAGGAACAGTCCCACTAAGGTTAGAGCTTTGTGCTTTCTGTTGGCATTAGATTGCTAGTGCATC